TGGATGAGGTCCCACCTTACTAGGCCTATTTATATTCAGAATTAGAACTCCTATTTCTAGACATACACATCTATGCATACAACAGAGGGTAGGTTCTGGATTTCACTGACAGACTCAGGAAAACAACCACAAAACACTCCCTAAATTGAGTTATCAATATCTACACAGCAGGAAAAGTGCTTGCCACCAAGCCAGATGACCTGAGTCCGGTCCCTGGGACCCATGTGGGTAAGGCAACAAACACCATCATTACGGTCGCTACTTTTACCACTGAGGTGCCTGGACTAACCAAACATTCATCATCTGGATCCTACACTAACAGCAGCTCTTACATGACACCATTCTTAGAAATTGCCAAACAATGCCCATTCATTCCATCTTTCAAACCAGAGAACCTGAAAAAGGCCCTGCCAAGATGTCTCCTCTCGTCATTTTGGTTATGAGCCTGAGCCTTTAATGGGTGCACTATCTCTCCAACCCCAAGATACCTTCGCAAGAAAAGGACTTGACAAGAACTTCTGCCTTGTGGTGCTCATTCACAAAAGGAAAAGACAAGGAGAAGGCTTCCATAACACAACTATAAATGGTTTCCTTGTCTGTCAGTTATTCTAATAGCATGGCATGAAGACCAAAAAATGATGCCCTAGGAACTATAGCCCAAAATTGTAGCTCTAAAATCTATTCCCCTGGAGCTGGATAAACTAGGATTTTTGCCTGTACAGATAGAAGAACCAGGTAGTTGTGAGCCCAACATAGGTACTGGGAACAGAACCTTGGTCCTCTGCAAGAACAGCAAGCATGCTTAACCACTGAGCCATCATCTCTCCAGCCCCACATCTAGCCTTTTCATCAAATTGTGCTTAAATACTTCACTGCTTTTCTAAATCTGCACTACTGACAGTATATCCAGATAATACAACTGAACCTCAGAGAGGTTTCCTGTGGCATGGAGGTTGTTGAGGGAAGGGAACACGACTTCTGATACCATCTCCAGCTGGATTCCGGGAGTGATGTGCAGTAATCAAATCTGCACATTCAGAGCCTTATTGCTAAAGCAGAAGGAAAGACACCATAAAGTCAACTGGACTCACACTCGATTAAACAAGGTTACTTAAGTCACCTGCTGGTTTTGCATTCCCTTGTAAACAGTAAGTCATATTTCTCTTGATTTTTCCTTTGTCTTTCAACATTTTTCACTAGGATGCATCTATCTATGGATTATTTATTTTTTACTTGAAAAAGAGTCCCAGGTATACCCAGATGGCTTCAAACTAGCTTAGTAGCTAAAGATGACCCTCCTGCCACTTTTCAAGCGCTGGGATTACAACAGAATTATAGGCATGTGCCACCAGGCCCAGTTTATGCAGTACTTGGGATTGAACCCAGAGCTTTGTGCATGCTAGATAGGCACTCTACCAACTGAAGAACACCCCCACCTCCATGCTTCGAACATTTCTTTTTCTTCCTTCTGTTTTCTGCACTGGCCTACAGTGTAATGCTGAATAGTGGTATAGCAGTGTTGAGGGCAAACATTCTTATTTCTGGTTTTGGTTTTTTGAGACAGGGTCACCTGTAGCACTAGCTGACCTGGAACTTGCTATGTAGACCAATCTGGCCTGGATCTCACAGAGATCCACCTGCCTCTGCTTCCCAAGTGCTGGGATTATAGGTATACACCACCATGCCCAGCAAGGGCAAACATTCTTGATACTGGCCTGGAAAGCTAACAGTCTTTTATAATGACATAAGAGATTAGGTATAAGTTTTTCCTAGAATCTTTTTCTTCAGACAGGCTCTTATTCTATAGCTCAGGTTAGTCTTAAGCTTCTGAGTCTCCTTCCCCAGGCTCCCAAGTGCTGGGATTACAGAAATATGTCACTATGCCCCTCAAAAGTATCTGATTTTCTGCATGGGGTTGCCTAAAGATAGCTTGGTCTATACTGAAGGGTGTTAAAGCTTTGTTTTTGTTTGTTTGTTGATTTCTTGTCTTTTTGAGACAAGGTCTTCCATATTCCCAGCTTGCCTAGAACTCGCTATATAGACCAGGCTGGCCTCAAGCTCACAAAGATCTGCCTGCCTCTGTTTCCCAAGTGTTGGGATTAAACACATCCACCACCACACCCAGCTAGGTTTTGTTACTTAAGTGGAGAGAGCTTTCTGATTCCAGCTTTTCTACCCTGCCTGGCCTTCTTGGGTGATTTCTACCTGTCCCTGAAGATTTTGGACTTTGCCCTCTGAGAAAACATCACCAATACTCCTGACAATTATCTCTTTTACATCACCCTGGTCATCCTTTTCATTACCTGACAGTACACCATTCTGATTGGTATCTTACACAAGGAAGAAATCTCTCAAAATTCAAAAGAGAGCCAGGAAAGAACCAGTGAGATGGCTATGCCAGTAAAGATTCATGCTGCCAAGCCTACAACCCAAGTTTGATCCCGGAAACCTACATGGTGGAAGAAGAGGACTGATTCTACAAGTTGTCATCTGACCTGCATATACACACACACACACACACACACACACACACACACACACACAAACACACTCATAAATCATAAATAAACATTAAAATAACTTTTTTAATTTCAAGAGAAAAACTTTAAAATTTCACTTATAAACTGGATGTGGCATTAAACAACTTTAATCCCAGTACTCAAGAGGCAGAGACAGGTGGATATTTGTGAGATTGAGGCTACCCTGGTCTACATAGTAAGTTCCAGGACAGTTGAGGCTACAAGTAGACTCTGTCACAAAAAAAAGAGAGAAAAAAACACACTCATGATCATGTAGAGTATTACCAGACCCTACCTTACCCCAGCAACCCAATAAAAGGGGTACTCCTCCTGGGGGCTGGAGAGATGGCTCAGCAGTTAAGAGCCTCTTGCAAAAGACCCAGGTTGGTTCGATTTCCAACACCCACATGGCGGCTAACAACCATCTATAACTCCAGTTCCAGGGGATCCAACTCCTTCTTCTGACTTCCATAGGCATTGCACAACGTGGGTACACTTACATACATGTACACAATACATGCATACATATAAAATAAAAACATTTTTTCTAAAAAGGGGGTACTCCTTCCTCTGACTAGAGACAGAACTCTATCAGTGCCCCCTCACACTCCTTTCTTAAGAAAAAGTCTGCATTTAAAGCTTTGCTGAAGTGTCTATACCTTTATCTTTATTAACATGGGGTCAGAGAGTACAAGTTCTAGCAAGTTCTAGGCCAGCCTAGCAAGCCTGAGCAAGACTGTCTTCAAGGAGGAGGGGAGATTTAAGTGAAAGATTTTTATACTTCAAAGGTTATAGAAAAAGTAATCTTTGCTATAATGAAAATTTCATGGAAAAATTTCTATTTGTCCTAGTTTGTCTCTTCATTGCTATGACAAAACACTCTGACCACTACCAACTTGGGGAGGAAAGGGTATATTTGTCTTACATCTCCTGGGTTCATCAGGGAGCCCAAGGTAGGAACTCAGGGCAGGAACCTGGAGGCAGGAGCTGTAGCACAGACCATGGAGGATCACTGCTTACTGACTTGCTCACCTGGCCCCTGCTCAGCCTGCTTTCTTTTGCAACATAGGCCCACCTGCCCAGGGGTGGTACCACCTACAGTGGGCTAGGCCCTCCTACATCACTCAACAATCAAGAAGATGCCCCACAGACATGGCCACAGGCCAGCCCTATGGAGACAATTCCCCAGTTGAGGCTCCCTCAACCCAGGTGTGTCAAGTTGACACTAAAGCTATCCAGCACACTATTTTCATCTGATAGTTGAATTTTATCCATCTTTTTTCTTTCTGTCTTAGACAAAAATGTCAAGATAATAACTGATTTTAAACAACCAATAAAAATTAATCAAAATAAGAAAAATACATTTAAAGGGTAGTAAGTGCAATACATAACCAAACACCAAATAATATGTATTCTATTCTGGATGGAACATTGGTTGGCAAACATCGTGCACAGTTATTCCCACAGGAGACCCTAGAAGCAATTTAACTTTTTAGCCAATTGAAAGCATCTATCTGAGGCTTTATTCAACAAAGTAAAAGACTTATTGTTGGGGCCAGAGAGATGGATCAGCGGTTAAGAGGACTGGCTGCTCTGCAGAGGACCTGGGTTTGTTTCCCAGCACTGGCATAGCAACTAACAATCAGTCATAATTCTAGTTCCAGAATCTAACCCCCTCTTCTGACCGCTAAGGACACTGCATGGTACCAGTGCACTTGCATGCAAGCAAAACACTCATATCTGTAAAATAAAATTAAATAATATTTTCTAAAAGATGTGTTGTTTTTGCTGTTCATTTTGCACATGCCCCAACTTCCAAGGAGGCTTGCAAAACTTCACCAAGGAGGGAGAGAGAGATGGCTCAGTGGGTAAAGGCACCTGCTGCCAAGTTTGTGGACCTGAATTCTATCCCCAGGGACCCACATGGTGGAAGGAGAGAACTGACTCCAAGTTGTCCTCTGACCATCCACATACAAGCTGTGGAACGCGTGCGTACGTGCGTGCACACGCAAAAATAAGATGTAATTTTAAAAAATTCACCAAGGAATGTTAGGTTAAAGCTGTTAAGATATCCCTACATTGTTTCAAACTATGATGCCAGTTGAAGAAGATAGAACCCAGTTCCATAATAACAGCTGAGCTGGATGAGAATATTAAGCCTTATCTCCAAGGTGAAGAGTCAAACGTCCTGGGGCCGGGACTGCACTGATTGCCACCAGCTGCTTTCATGTACACAGCAGGTGCACTCCTTTTCTCTCCACCGGTCAGTTTGCAGATCCCCTCCCGATGTTCATGTCCTCCCACCACGGTACTCTTTCCACCAGCATCCTAAACAGGCCCCATTAGGGGCCCCCGCAGTCCCAGGCCCGAGCTCTTAGTGGCCTGGTCATCCCAAATCCTCCTCCCCTTTCCGGCCGAAGCCCAGAGCGCCCCAGGCCCCGCCCAGACCGCTCGTCACGTGACTGCGCGCCCCGCCTCCGGTCCTGGCTCACGTGATCCCGGCCGGGGAGGAAACGCCTGACCCCGGTGCTCGGCTCCCAGCGTCCTGTCTGCCCGCAGCTCCCCGCCAGCAGCTTCCCGGCCCACGGCCCTAAGTCCCGTCGGGTCCCTCAGCGTGGGCCTCCTCGCAGAATGCCGCCCGCCATGCGGTTTCTGCCCGCGGCCCCGGGTGGGCCCCGGCCCGGCCGCCACCTGCTCGCGCGAATACCTGCCCTACTACTGCCGCTGCTGCTGAGCGGCTGCCTGGGGCTGGCGGGGGTAGCGGCCGCGGCCCGCAGGCCCAGTGTGGTGCTGCTGCTCACCGACGACCAGGACGAAGTGCTTGGCGGCATGGTAACTCTCCCACGGCTGCCCCGCCCCTCCACCTCCCGGCCTGACTCCTGGCTCCTTGCTCATCCCGTACCCCGGGTCCCCCAAGCTGGCTGCCGTGATTCTGGGTGGATGGGCGTCTGTCACAACAGGCCCTCTGCGCGCCGTGATGGACCCTGGGTCCGGGCTTCCTCTTCTGAGCTGACTCACATCCACGCACCACCCGGCGCCTTTGGTCTGCACCTTCCTGCTGCGGTGTGCGTTCACGACTCCGGGATGAACATGTCGGGAGACAGCTGGGGGTGGATGAACGAAAGAGGAGCAAATGGTGGGAAGTGCTCACTGGCCTTGGGAGTTCTCTCTCAATTCAGGGGATCCGAGGCCACGTCCAGCGCCTTCATGCAGGACCTAGGAACTCTGCATCTGTGCCTGTGTGGTGGCTCTAAGTGCTGAACTGAACAAACGTGGTTGGTAGGCTGTCCAGTTATACTCGAGTGTGTTTTGCTTCAGAAAAATTAACCTACCTGACTGAAACATTATTGTCATTTTATAGCTGTCCATTTTCTATCTGATGGGTGTCATGAGATTTCGTTTCTTTTCCAGAGTTACTTTTGCTCTTTGAATTTGACCTTTGGAAACAGCCACACTGACCCCTTTCCAGGTGGATGAAAGGGCTTACCCAAGGCACAGAAGCAGTTAACTCCGCTGGCCCTCTGACCCTGTGTGCATGTCATGTGTGCTTGTCGTGTGTGTGCGGCGCCCTTCTTTCAGTTCTCTCTCTGATTTCAGCTGAGGCTGAAACTGTGAAACTTCTCTAGACCTGTTCCTAACTTTACCTTTGTGGCAAACCCTAGCTCAGTGTTCTCCTAATTGCTGGACCCAACTGGTGAGTTGTGAAATCAGTTTAGTGAGTAGATACCAACATTTGGCTTTCCAGTGAATAAAGCGTGTGTGTACGACATGATAATGCTAGGCACATTGGTGCACTGGATGCGGTGAGAAAGCCTTTTCTAGCTGCCGTTTTCAGTACTTGCATTTCCAGTTTCACCTCTCTTCAGGTATGCTCCGTCCAGCCATAAGTGTGGGGAGAGTCTTTTTCTTCTTCTTTTGCAGTTCTGGGGATTGAATCCTGGGCCTCATGCATGGTAGGCAAGTGCTCTACCTATGAGCTATACCCCCATCCCCTGTAACAAGAGTCTTGATTTAATTTCTCTCCTAGGTTTTACTTTGATTTTGCTATCATTCCACACATCCTTCTGCTCTCAAAGCTTTTATTTAAACAAACAAACAAACAAACAAACACAAACAACTGTGCTCTTGGGGGCTGGAGAGATAGTTCAAGGGCTAAGAGCACTGGCTGCTCCTGCAGAGGACCTGGGTTCGCTTCCCAGCATCCACTTGGCAGCTGACAACTGTCTGTAACTCCAGTTCCAGGGGATGTGATGCCCTCTTTTGGCTTCTGTGGGCAGTGTACATATGAGTGCACTTACATAGTGCAGGCAGAACACTCATACAGATAATTTTTTTTTAAACTTTGTATCCTTGAAGAGAGTTTTGTTTAGAAAAAAAAGATACCTCTACCAGTGATTAAAGTATTCAATAGGTCAAGCCTTAATACTTAACATGGTTGAAAAGAAAATTTATTACTTATTAGATGTTCCCAATTTACTTTCATTCTTACCACAGCTATTGTGTGTATTTGAGGTCTTTACTTTTTAATGATAATCTTTAAAAAAGTATTTAATACCAAAAGAAGGTTCTCTCTTTTTTTTAACTGCATTTTTGTGTGTCTTGGGGTGTGTGTGTGTGTGTGTGTGTGTGTGTGTGTAAGTCAGAGGACAACTTAACCAGAATCTCCACCATGTGGATTCTGGGGATGGAACTTAGGTCCTCAGTCTTGGCAGCAAGCACCTTTTACCAACTGAGCCATCTTGCCCACCCCAGAGTCTTTAAAAGAGGTACTTATTCTGGCCAGAGAAGCCAAAATCAAATGAAGGGAACAAATTAAGCTTAAAGCTTCCAGTACTTGGGTTGGCAATGACCTGAGTTCCATCCCCAGAGCCCACATGATGGAAGGAGAGAACTGACTCTGACCTACCTCCACACAAGTGCCATGGCTCAGGCACCCACACTTACAAAATAAATGAATAAATAAATATAATTTTTAATACATTTTTATTGAATTTTTGTGTATTTCATATACAACATGTTAGTCCTCTTTATACCCACTTTCCCCTTGGCACCCTTCCATAGCCCCCACCCACTGGGTTTCATGTATTCTGTCATTATGTTAAGACCTGTTGAGTCAAGTTAGTGTTCTGTGACGTCCCTCAGCTCAAGTTGATCCCCTGGGGTCTAGTCAACCTATCTTGAATCTTTCCCTTAAAGAAGATCAGCTCTTCCTCACCTAGAAGTAATCAGCTGCCAATAGTTCTTTTGCTAAGATTGGGGCCTCCTGCCCATTTCCACAGTTCTGTGCTGGGTTTTTGTCTACTTGAGTTTGCATAGGTCTTGTGAATGCTGACACTGTTGCTGTAGGTTCATATGTGCAAGGTCCCAGGAGCCCGTAAGACTGTTTCAATACAGTCATGCACGTCCTCCCTGGCTCTTAAAAATCTTTCCACCCTCTCTTCCACAGTGGCCCCTGAGCCCTGGTTTCATTGCCCTCTGTTGCATGAGGGACCTTCGCTGATGGGAAATGTAATTTTTTCCCAAAGCTCCCAACACTTCGGAGGATTCTGACTTTTCTTGCAACCTCTTTCAGAGGATTCTGCCCATTCATTGTCAAATAGGACTGCAAGGGGAAGATCTAAGGCAGTAACATTGTTTGAGAGCCTGCTTGGCACCTTGGTACCAAGGTGACTTATATTTCACACAGCACAGCACCCCCCTTCTACAGAGAGTGTCATCATCTTAAAAAGGAGAAAATAAAACTCGGAGGTAGTTAAGTTGGTGTAATTCATAAGGGGCAAAGCTTGGATGCTTTATGATCCCAAGCACCATGCTTTTTCAGATGTTCTAGAACACTGTGGTACTCTTACCAGATGTTATCACAGATACCCACAGCAGCATATGCACTTGTACTGTAGATCAGAGATTCTTCATGTGGCATTCTGGAATGTTGGCAGTGGGATCATCCATAGCACTTGTTATGTATAAAGCCTGTGTAGAGTGTCTTTATGGAGAGGAATTGAATGGTCTAAAAAGGTTACGCTCCGCTGCTATAGTTGAAAAGTAAGCAGAAGAATCCCCCCCTGCCCCCCCCCACTGTCTCAGGTTAAAGAATTTTATCACTTTACATGATTTGGGTTTCATATGAAGTTTTTCTCTTGTTTTGTTTTGTTTTGAGACAGTCTTAAATAGTCTTGCTGTATAATGTTGATGCCCTTGAACTCCTGCTTCTACCACCTGAGTGCTAGGATTACAGGCATGTGCTACCACAGCCTACTAATGTGGAATTTGTCAGTCATCTTTATCTTGAATTCCATCTTCTTTATAGTCACATCATCTTTAACATTTAACATTTCACTGTATTTTTCCCATGTATCATCTGAGAGACTCTGCTTTTGTTAATTTCCCAGGGAAACTTTCGTTACCATTTTTAAAAGTTTATTTTAGGGGCCAGGCATGGTAGTGCACGCCTTTAATCCCAGCACTCGGGAGGCAGAGGCAGGCGGATCTCTGTGAGTTCAAGGCCAGCCTGGTCTACATAGTGAGTTCCAGGACAGCTGGGGCTACAGGGAGACCCTGTCTCAAAAAGACCAAAAAAAAAAAAAATTTATTTTAGCATAATTATGGTGTGATGGACACACTGTTGTTCACAGAGACACAGGTTGTTCTCTAGAGTAAAGTCATTACTCTAGGAGCCACGAGGAAATGTAGGAAAAGAATGTGTCATTGCTTAAAGCAAGGTGACTGCCATTGTTCAAAGAAAAGTTAGCCATTGAATTATCAGAATCATTAAAACTTTCAGAGCACCTGTACATGGGACCAGGAAAGTAAATGACTTTAGTTTTTCAGGAAGGGATTTTGCTTAGGATGAGTAGAGTTACACATTTGCTCATGTGAGAGTAAAGTGGCTGTTTCTTAATACTGTCATATGGTTTCCACCTGACCAGCCACTGTCAGTTCAGATTAGCATGGACACATATTTTCAGCATAGTGTGGTCTCTTTCTTGAGACCTGTTCAGCTAAGCACAGATTGGTTATCACTTGCATCTCTGTTAACAACATAAAGATTATGGTTATTAATGTAAACTTCTAAATCAAAACTCTGTGAAGCCTGATCTTGCCATTCTTTCCTTTTTCCCTCCTAAACTGTTTCTTCCACACTGGCGTTCTTTTCTATTCCTCTGGCCGGCTTTTTGTTTGCCATTCACTCAGCCTGGAAACATCCTCTCCCAGATCCTTTCATGCACAACTCCTCACTATGGGGCTCTGCAAGCTCCCCACCTGAAGAAGACTTTCCTGACCATCTATCTGAAGTAGCTCACTGCTTTCTTCCCAACACTTGTACCATGCAAACCTGCTTTATTCTCTTTGAAGCATTTATCACTACCTGCAGTGATTGATTGCCTTTAGTTGTATCATGTATCACATCTGCCATTGCCTCGATCAATGTGTGGTATGTGTTATCTTTAACAAATGTGTCACAATCACACAGTATAGTCTTATAAACCAAATATTGTCTAGTTGTTTTTGTACTTATCAGACAACTTGTCCATGTCCTTTCTCCAGTTATATTTCACATTGCTATCTCCCCTTCCAGTGTCTTCACTGCATCTTAGATTCTTGGTTAAGCTGGGGTTTTGTCCCCCACACTGTTCTTTGCCTGAGGTTAGCACCAGTGATGTTTTGAGGAGAGTTGGTGGCAGTGCCTCAGAAGCTTATTAGCACAGGCCTTCCACAGCATTGCTCCTTCCTGGGTTCCAGTTGAGGATCTGCCCATGAAATCATCAAAGCTTGTGTTGAATAAGTTGGAATTGTCATCCTGCTGGGCCTACACATAGCTTGAGTGTATAAATCAATGGGGAAGTTATTTAAATGTTGTTGAAAGTGAGTCTTTTGTTAACCTAGTATATATTTGGAGTATCAGTCTTTAAGGAATTATTCTGAAAAAAATACCAAAGACTGCATTCAATATGTGTCCTAGTTTGTTTCTCCATTGATGTGACAAAATACTCTGACCAATACCAACTTGGGGAGGAAAGGGTTTATTTGGCTTGCATCTCCCAGGTCACAATTCATGAGGGAGCCCAAGGTAGGAACTCAGGGCAGGAGCCTGGAGGCAGGAGCTGGAATGCAGAATCCCCAGTTGCCTCTTATAACCTCTTCCATGGTAGTTTTTGCTGTCTGGAATGTGAACAAAGAATAGTAAACCTTTTATTTGTATTTAAAGAACTGTCTTTCATACTTTTGTCTTCTAGAATGAAGTCACATTTTCTCTGTACTTGTCAGAATCTTAGATTTTTGAATAAAAGATGAAAAGCAAGGGTATAAAGTAATAGGGCTGGGTTTATAACTCAGTGGCACAGTGCTTGCCTAGCATGTATGGGGCCCGGCACTCATCGTCGTCGTCATTATTTATGCTTGACTGTATTTATATACCCACGCCTTTCACCTGGTGAGTGGTTACTTTGAGGTGATGAGTGGTCCTACAGGGTGTTAGTATTGAAAGTGTATGTTTGGGCTCCACCACTGAATGTTTGAGATCTGAAGCTGTCTCTGACCTCAGAACCTTTTTGGCTTTCAGAATCTAAATGTTGTCTTATTTTTCTTCTAAAGAGTGAAAGATTCCTTTTATATTTCCTGCATTGGGGCTGTTTGCAAGTAAGAACAGGACACTAAAATGTATTACCTGATGTCAGCATTGACAGAATAGTGCTATCAGCTGTGAACTTTCCCTTCTTCCTTGCACAGGGTACACCTGACTGTAGCCAGATCTGTTTGGTTCATCTCCAGAATCATAGCTCTGGACTGCTGCCTAGTGTCAGAGCTGACCATTTGGAAGTAAATAATTGAGATGAAACAAGACACAAATTTTGATTTGTATGTTTTGATTTATCAGACATTGTTTAATTTTTTAATTTATAGACACCACTGAAGAAGACCAAGACCCTCATTGGAGAGATGGGGATCACTTTCTCCAGCGCTGTAAGTTTGGAAACCAGTATGAGCTCCTTAGACTGTATATGCTCTAAGAAGAACCACTCACTGTGGGGTTCTAGTACAATATGTTTGGAAGCTTTTGTTGTTGTTTTTTAGTTAAATATCTAATCTGAAGGACTGGGACTCAGTCACAAACCCATGCTTAGGTAGCTTTGTTACACAGCCCAGGGAATGGTACCACCCACTGTGGGCTGGGCCTTCCCGTATAAATTAACATTCAAGACCATCTCCATAGACATGAACTGAGACTCCTTTTTCAGGTGACTCTAGGCTGTGTCAAATTGACTATTAAAGATAACTAGGCCAGGAAAGAAGAAAGACCAGTATAAAAATGACAAGAAGCAGGCTGGAAAGATAGCACAGCTATTAAGAGCACTGACTGCTCTTCCAGAGGACCCAGGTTCAATTCCCAGTACCCACATAGTGGCTAACAGTTGTCTGTAACTCCAGTTCCAGGGGATCTGACGCCCTCTTCTGCCCTCTCCTGGCTTTGCATCACAAGAGTACACATACATACATTCAGGCAAAACAGTCAAAACATAAAATAAAAATAAGTGAATTAAAAAAAAGATGACAGGAGACAGGGCTAAAGAGACAGCTCTCCAGTTAAGAGTGCTTGCTATGCAATCACGGGGACTGAGTACAGCAACCACATAGCAAGCCCAGTGCCCCACTCTGAGGGATCTGGTACCCTTTTCTGGCTTCCTTGTGTGCATCAACATACACATATGTGCATATACTCATGAAGACACGTAAATAACTAAAAATAAGTCTTTTAAAGGAGTTTACAAAATTACAGAAGACAAATGTCTATAAAATGAAGAGGGAGAAGTAGATATGAGAATGGAGAGCATTCCTTCTCACCAGTATTTAAAAAGTCAGTCAGAACTGGGGGTTAGCTCGGTGGTGGAACATATGCTTAGCATGTGCAGAATCCTGACTTTTAATCCCTAGTACCAAAAGAAAAAAAAAAGGCTAAATCCAACTTAGAAGCCCCCCGCCCCAAAAAATAACCCAAGTATTTAACAGGGACAAGTACCTAATGCTAGGTGAATGTGTGCTTGAATTCCTTCCCTTCTGGTGTGAGTATAAGCTAGAAGCTAGTATTAATGTCTGAGAAGTGGCTTGATGATGTGTACGGACATTATTGAGTAGAATAGAGGAGCTTTATCTATAGTAGCTGAGGGACAAAAAAAAACTGTGTCCAGCATATAAAATGATACAAGAACTAAAACTGCATCAGCCTAAAAGTAAACTGCTGCTTCTCCATTGCATTCAACTCAGGTAGCATTCTTTTTTTTTTTTTTAATTTCAGGAACTACTTTTTAAAATATTTATGTATATGTTAAAACATTTAATATATAATATTTAAAATATTTTGTTTTATGTATGTATATCTGAGTAGTTTGTCTGCATATAAATGCACCCGTGTTGTGCAATGCTTGCAGAGGTCAGAAGAGGTGGATCCCCTGGAACTGGACTTATGGATGATTGTTAATCACCATATGGGTGCTGGAAACTGAACCCTGGTCCTCTGCAAGAGCAACCAGTGCTCTTAACTGCTGAGACATCTTTCTAGCCCCCTGGAAACATTTTTTAAGTTAGCATAACAATCAGTAGGTTTCTATTTTGTTCTTGCACATCCCTTCCCCCATCTTCCCCTCTCCTCTTGCCAGTCCCCTTTCCCGCTTCTGTTTTCATGTCACATGTATCCCCACCCCACTTCCTACCCCACGTCTCTTCCATCTCTCATGGTGCCCTTTTCTGAAGTAGCAGTTTATTCAGTTGTTTTTTCTTCCCCTTTGGTGTCTCCTGTGTGTGACTTCTAAGCAGCACTGGTGTGTCATGTGTAAAGAAAGTCTATTTCGTTTCCATGAGAAACTGAAATTGGAGTGTTAAGCACTTTCCTTTCTCCCCTGTGGAACAGTAAGAAATCCATCTCTCTAGTATAACTATTGCCCTTGTGCTTCTTTTCTCCCTGTAGTATGTGCCAAGTGCTCTTTGCTGCCCCAGCAGAGCCAGCATCCTGACTGGGAAGTACCCACACAACCATCACGTTGTTAACAACACTCTGGAGGGAAACTGCAGTAGCAGGTCTTGGCAGAAGATCCAAGAGCCAAACACTTTCCCAGCCATCCTCAGATCATTGTGTGGTTATCAAACCTTTTTTGCTGGGAAGTATTTAAATGAGGTATGTTGTGATCTGCTCCTCCTACAGCAGCTTTTTAAGTGTGAATTAGTATAATTCCTGCCAATTACTTTTCACTGTATCAATTCATGTTGCTAAAGGGTTTAAGGTGCATAATTGTTTTTTGCTGTTCTGCCCATCAACTGAACACATTTCCAGGATTTATGCTTTATCATTATTCTTCCTTTACATAGCCCTAGAAGCATTTATGTAAAGACTTCCCCCATCTGCTGCCTCTTCCCTATTTTCATCAGTGATTCTGCTGATCATATGGCAGTCACAATATCTTTGTTTCTCTTTCCTCTTTTAGGATCTAGTGGGGGAGGTTTTCCTCCCCAACTCTTTGCTCAGGTTTCTTAAAATCAATTATTTTTTAATTATATTAACTTAATGTATAACTCCTTTTCTGACCTAAAAAGTGAGGACAGTGGAGAGATGTAAAGAGGCACTGCCCAGTGCTCAGTGGGGCTGTCGACATATATAGCTAGGTGTTTGGTGTACTGGCCTCGTGGGCCTGCCAGCACAAGGTTTCATGGTCCCTAGTCCACCATCTTGCTCTTAATTTTTTAGTCAGAGTCTATGCTTAAAGGAGATGGTACATTTGGGAGTGTTTGGGATTGCCTTCTGACAGTAGTTAAACGGGGGTACAGGATGAAGAGAAGGTACACATTTCCTTACATACTTTTCCTGTCATTGCTAGAGGTCTTAATAGCTGATCTGAATTTTCTTGTTCCCTTCCCATTAATTGAGGAAATCTGCAACTTGTGGGTTTGAAAGAAGATGAGTCAGCTTGAAAGCATCCTAAGTAGGAAACTTCTCCATTGCAGGGTTGGGATGGTGGGTCATAAAGGGAACTTACTCGCCTTGGAACATTGAAGGTCATCTTCTGTGTATATAATGAGGAGAAACCTTCTAAAGTATAGAGATAGTTTTCAGAGATTAAATTCTGCCTTAAGCAGACAATACTAAACTTTACCTAGCTGGGGAGAGTATCCTGTGGTTTCTCCACTTCTAATCACCAGATAAGCTGAGCTTCAGAAGAGAATTTCATCAGGAAGAATAGGCAGTCAGATTATCTTGGCTATTCCTGGCCACAGGTCAGTTGGACTACTGAGTCTGTGCCATTGCAGTTCAGGGCTCACCCCATGAATACGTCCCATGGAGTAGGCCAGATGGCTTTGCAGACCACACGTGTCTTGGAACTATATGACACTGCCATATATCAGGAAAGCAGCTGTAGACACTCCATGAGTGAATGAACATGACTATGTTCAAACAAAACTATCAGCACTGAAATTTTAATTTCTTGTAACTTAAATTTCACAAGATATTTTTCTTTTGACTGGTTTTGTACATTTAAATGATTAAATTCTTAGCATACTGGCCATTCAAAATAGCTGGCAAGACAGATTTGGCACAGTGACCTTAGTTACCAACTCCTGCTTAAGAAATTTCTTGGGCTGGGTGTGGTGGCACGTGCCTTTAATCCCAGCATGGAGGCAGAGGCAGGTGGATCTCTATGAGTAGTGCAAAGTCAGGCTGGTCTACATAGTGAGCTTCAGACCAGCTGGGGCCACAGGGAGACCTGTCTCAAAGACCGAAAAAAAAAAAAAAAAAAAAAAAAGATTTTTCTTGGTTTATAAATTTTTTTCCTTTTTGCCTAGTTTTTGTTTTTGGGCAAATTGGCCCCTGTTTTTTTTTACATCTTCGTCATTCTCCCTTCTGTTTCAGGGACTATTCTGTACAACTTTTATTCTCCCCAGAGACCTGTCTCAAAAACCGAAAAAAAAAAAAAAAAAAGAAAGAAATTTCTTGGATTATAGAATTCTTTACTTTTTGACTAGATTATGTGTTTGGGCAAATTGGCACCTGTTGTGTTTCAGGCCCTGGTCCTGGTCTGAAGAGTTTCTGAGTTGCCTGTTTCTTTCTGGTCTGGTTGTGTCTGAGGAGTTCTAATGTCCTACTTGGCTGTCTTTTCAGTATGGAGCCCCAGATGCAGGTGGACTGGAGCATGTCCCCTTGGGCTGGAGTTATTGGTATGCCCTGGTGAGTGATTATTGAAGTATGTGACAATTAGATACAGCTCAAAGATGCAAAATATGTTTAACCCAGTTCTGATACCGACATGAGCTTGCTTTATGACGAACTATTTATCTCCTTAATGGAAAGTCTGTTGGCTGGTGAGTCACTCCTTTCAAGATTTTTTTTCTGTCATTAGTGGGTATAGCGGTATAGTTTACTGTTCTTCTGATCCACTTCTGGCTTTTAAAGTAGGACAAATTAATGAAACTATGCTAATCTATGATAATGTCCTCCACAAACCTATTCAGTATTGACTTGAGTTATTGCCTTTCTCCTGTTTTATCGCTCTTTAAACAGTACAATTTAGCCCAACTTGAGTTCAGGCTTTCGATTTGTGTGCTGACCTCAAATTTCCCTTCCTCTTTTATGTAGGAAAAGAATTCTAAATACTATAACTACACTCTTTCTATCAATGGGAAGGCTCGAAAGCATGGTGAGAACTACAGTGTGGACTACCTGACAGATGTGCTGGTGAGTTGCTGAGGCTTGGAAGCCATATTGCAGCTTTACCTCACACTTGATTGAATACTCTGTTTAAAAAATGCCTAATCTAGTTTATATCAGGAAACAGAAATGTGTAATGGCCTGGTCTATCTGCCAGAGAGTATCTCCATCTAATTTTAAAACTCTAGAGGGCGTTTTTCTTTGTATATAAGCTAGACTCATGTTCTCATAATTCAGCAACAAATCCCTCTTCCAAGAGGTAATATCTGAGGTTGTGGAGATTATCTCACAGAGTTCTACCTAATAGGTGTCACACTGATGACCCCAGTTATATTCACGAGTTGTAAGATAGCAGCTTCACAGGCCTTGTGCGAGTGAGACACAAGGGCGAGGGAGTTCTTTGCGGGGGGGGGGTGTATATGCATTTCTGAAGTCACATGGGATCCTCCTGCCCTGACATGTTTTTAACAAAACCTTCTACACAGCATTTATTCACCAACATGTAGTAAAGCAGTTGTTCTGTGGTAAGTAAGCAAAGTCCGGTTCTGTGGAAGGTGACCTCATGGCAGGAAATTTCGTGCTTACTGTGGGTATTTGACTAAGTATACATGCTCATGTGTTGCTTCATTAGGTGGTGAGCACTTAGACTAATAAGAAAGGGCAAAGGAGCTAGTATATAACATTTAAGCAGGTGAGGAGAAGGTGAGAGTGGTCAGTACAGATGAGGGAAGACTGTGCTACAGGCAAGGGGAACACTCCATATGAAGCAGAGGGAACAGAAGTGTGCCTGGTGTACTGGAGAAGCTGTAGAGCTGGAAGCTAGTGGATGGAAAAGTGATAAACAATAGATAACCCTCTTGAGTTAATGTTGGGAAGAGGTGAAGGTGTGAATCAGTTCGAATAGTGAAAAACCTCCTTTCACCATGTTGGTCCTGAGGATCGAACCTAGGTCATCAAGTATGGTGGCAAGTGCCTTTACCTGCTGAGCCACATCAACAGCTCTCTCAACATTCTTTAAGGCATCAAATGTCTATATTCTAAGCTTCATTATTATAAATGAATAATAAATGGCCAAATTACTATTTCTTTCTGTGTAGGTAACCCTAACGATCACTAGATCCTTTAAAGTTAGGAACTCATTTGCTTTTCTTATGATGCTAAGGTTCTCTGGTTTTTTAAAGCATTGCCCAAACCATATGTTTTATGCCAACAGTGTGCTTGTACATGACCATGAAATGAAAGCACATACGAGATTAATAGCCAGCCTGACCCCACATGCTCTCTCTGTCCACCAAGAGAAACTTATATATTGGATACTCAGTTACCAGGCAGGGAAGGAAATGACAAATCTTTATGTGTGTCAGGCTAATGTCTCCCTGGACTTCCTGGACTACAAGTCTAACTCTGAGCCGTTCTTCATGATGATCTCCACTCCAGCGCCCCATTCACCATGGACCGCTGCACCTCAGTACCAGAAGACCTTCCAGAATGTCTTTGCACCAAGAAACAAGAACTTCAACATCCATGGAACGGTAGGCTCCCTAAGCCTTTAAGCCACCATTTGCTGTAGTTAGCTGGTCAGGAAGCCAGGCGCCTTTGAGTGGATTTGCTCTCAGTGTCTTTTCAAGGTACTACTGTACCTGTCTCTGGTGAAATAGGTAATATAAATTTGCTTCATGGATACTGATAAGCTTCCTGCAGCCCACCCAGGGAGCAGCTGGAGATGCCAAGGAATGGTAAACAGCGCCATTGTCCCCAGGCTCCTCTTTCCTGGCAGTAGGTAAGACATGTCCCTACAGAATGAGTTGTGCCCAAAGCAGCCTTGCCTAGTGACTCTCGTTGGCCCAAGGCATAGGAAGAAGAGAGGTGGCTGAGTGCAATCTGGTTAAAGGGAAGTAGGATGGACTCGTGAGGTATCAGTGTGATGAAAGGCCACAGCCCCAGCAGTTGCTGCATCAGTTCAGTTCTTCTAAGTTTTACCTAGTAAGTTACTCCCTTGTCCTCTAGTTTCCTACGCAAGGTACCAAGTGCCCAAGATCCTGAGAAATCCTGTCCTAAAACTTGAAGTCCAAACATGATGGGTCCTTCTCACTTAAATACAAGTCACGTTTTTAGCAACAAAAACATTTCCATATACCATTCTCTCCTGTCTGTATACCATCTCTTCTCCCAAATGATGTTCCTCAAAGCATTCTTCAGTTAATAGGTGATACTTCCCTTGGCTGGGAGTGTAAGCAGGCCTTCACTGCCTGAGTCTGTTACCCAGAAATCATAATGCTTGTAAGGTATAGAAAAAATGAGATTTGCAGTTAAACCCAGTAGTATCCATTTCTGTTTACGAAATGATCAAGATGTTTACTTCTCCTGTTTTTCTTCCCAAAGTAGGTCGTAATCCTTTGTATCAATTAGCAAGAAACATCTAGCATATTACTTGCCACACTACAGGCATGTGCTTGCTAAAGGGATTGTGAAACTGTCTTTTTTGTTTATTCGTTTATTTTGTTTTTTGGGGTTTTTTTTTTTTTTTTTGGTGGTTTTTTTTGAAAAGTTTTCCCTGTAGCCCCAACTGTCCTGGAACTCACTATGTAGACCAGGCTAGCCTCACAAAGATCCACCTGCTTCTGCCTCCCAAGTGCTGGGAATAAAGGCGTGCACCACCATGTCCAGCTTGGTTTTTCTGTTTTTTGTTTGTTTGTTGTGGGTCTTTTGAGATAGGGTCTCCCTGTAGCCCCAGCTGGCCTAGAACTCAATATGTAGACCAGGCTAGCCTCAAACTCACAGAGATCCACCTGCCTCTGCCTCCTGAGTGCTGGGATTAAAGGTGTATGCCGCCATGCCCAGCTGTAAAGTGGTTTTTAAGCTAGAGGACATTCTCCATTGTTTTCCAGAAAGAGTTAATAGAAGTTACTAGGACCAATAATATAGGAGGCTTTGGGTTAAGTAAGTCACTCTGCTACCTAACTTTTCAGAGTTAGGTGTGATCTAATGTGCATTTCCAACAGGAGGATATGTTTAATATAGCATCTCTCAGACTTACCAAAGAACAGTTTGAGGAGCATAGTTTGGAAGGGTAGTACCTTAAAGTTTTGTGAGTACACAGAGAATCAATAGTATATGAGAATGCTTTTGTTGTTTGAAAAATGTGGCTTTGTCAGGCATAGTGGCGCACGCCTTTAGTCCCAGCACTCCGGAGGTAGAGGCGGGTGGATCTCTGAGTTTGAGGCCAAAGTGATTTTTTAAAAAATATTTTACTATTTTTATTTTATGTGTATGAATGTGTTGCCTGCATGTATGTGAGTGCATCTGTGTTGTGCAATGCTGCAGAGGTCAGAAGGGGGCTCCAGATTCCCCTAGAACTGGAGTTAAAGATGGTTTTTAGCTGCCATGTGGGTGCTGGGAATTGAACCTGGGTCCTCTGCAAGAGCAGTCAGTGCTCTTAACCACTGAGCCAACTCTCCAGCCCAAATTTTTTTTTTTTTTTGAGCCAGGCAGCTGGCCTGGAACTCACTATGTAGACCAGGCTAGCCTCGAACTCACAGAGATCTGCCTGCCTCTGCCTCCCAAGTGCTGGGATTAAAGGCATGCACCACCACACCTGGCTAAAGTGACTTTTATTTAAATGGAAAGGCCCCTCTACATTTGCACTTAAATCACTCTAATAGGATTTTTTTCCTGGCATATCCGTCTCTTGGACTGGTAGATAAATGAAAAGGAGTGACTTAGTAGGCAAGACTTAGAGGAACATAAAGTTAGTATTTGCTTATTTGTAGCTATAGTTAGCAGTAGGATCACAGTAATCAATTTAATCTCTTTTAAAAATTTTTTAAATTTAATTTTTTTTTTTATGTGTAAGAATGTATTGCCTACATGTATGTAAGTGCACCCATGTCATGCAATGCCTGTGGAGGTCAGAAGAGGGCATCAGACTCCCTGGAACTGGAGTTGATAGGTGGTTGTTAGTCACTGTGTGAGTGCTGGGAATCGAACTCAGAACCTCTGCAAGAGCAGCGAGTGCCCTTCTCTGCTGAGCCACCTCTCCAGCCCCCAATTTAATCTCTTCAAGCTAGTAATTTCCCAGTGACATTCAGCCTGAGACTCTTATTGCTGCTGCTAACAGAAGAGAGGAAGGTGTTTCTAGTGGGAAGCCAGCAGAGCAGTGGGGTTCATCTGACAAGCTGCTTTTATAGGAGCACAGGGGGAGGGGAAACAGTCTGAACCTGCTTCAACAGGTTCCAGGTAGTAACTTTCTGCTAGACTATGAAATGATCCTTTTACTATCTACTCTCATTATTTAGTAGTTTGATTATGGTGACTTGGTGTTAACATATGTTTTTCTTCTAAATTTTAGAACAAGCACTGGTTAATTAGACAAGCCAAGACTCCAATGACTAATTCTTCAATACAGTTTCTAGATAATGCATTTAGAAGAAGGTAAGAGCTAGTACTCTGTTCTCAGCTTGAGTGGTTTTGAGAATGGGGACTGGGTCGTTCTCTTACCTTTGAAACAAACTGGAAGCAGGTGAGTGGGAGTTGCTTAGGGCATCTGCCACCTCAGAAGCAGGGAGGCACAAGGGCACAAGGGCACCTTTGGATACCATGACTAATTAAACCAGCCATTGAAATTTTTTTCATTTTTGTTTTATTTTATGTGTATGAGTTTTTTGCCTGCACATATATAAGTGCACCATGCATGCAATATTCACAGAGACCAAACACAGCAATGGATCTCCTGGAACTAGAGTGGTGCTGGGAACCAAACCCAGATCCTCTGCAAGAGCAGCCAGTGCCCTTAACTTTTGAGCCACCTCTCCATCCCTTAAACCAGCTAATTTTTTAAAATATTATTTTTATTTTATGTGCATGAGTGTTATGCCTGCATGTAGGTAAGTGTACCCGTGTCGTGCAATGCCTGTAGAGGACAGAAGAGGCCGTTGGATCCCCTGGAACTGTAGTTATGGACAGTTGTTAGCTGCCATGTGGGTTCTGGGATTCGAACCTAGGTCTTCTGCAAGAATAGTCAGTGTTCTTAACCGCTGAGCTATCTCTCTAGCCCCCCAAACCAACTAATTTTATGACTTGTTAAAGAATATTGCAAACTTGAACCTTTTGGTTGAATTTTTCCCATTCTTAAAGAAAAAGTCACTTAGAAATAAGCCCAAAGAATGAGGAAAAGAGTTGTCTTTGATGTTTGGGATTTCAAGAAGTCCTAAGTCAATTTTCAGAATTCCACTACTTTCTCTATTTAGTTTAAGGCAGACGTCAGTAAACATTTTCTGTAGAACCAGATAATAGCAACAACAAATGTGGTAAGCTTAGGGGCCATGTGTCCCAGCACAAAAGCCTCAGGCAATATGTTAATACTGCTTTGAACCAAGAAAACTATAAAAACAGACAGCAGGGAAGTTTTGGACTGCTGGTTACAGGACAATGCCTAGAGTTTAGACTATTGAACAGTATTTCAGCACAGGCTTAATTTCAATGAATCTGTAGTAATCTGAACTGAATTGACAATTTTCTCTTCTGATTCTCTCTACTCTCATAGACATTGGCTGTAAAACATTAAAGCTAGCTGACTGTAAAAAGCCTAGCTTCTCTCTTTGGAAAGAGCTTTTGAAATTAATTATTATGTTATAGAATTTTCTTGTCTGCATTTTGCAGTGACAGGACCTGGGAACAAACTTGAGATTTGAGCATTTAGTGTTTGCTTTATTAGGATGAGTCTGGTTTTGTTCAGCCATTGTCCCTGAAGTCCCATGTCCTCCCTCTGTTCACATCCAGGTGGCAAACTCTACTCTCGGTGGATGATCTTGTGGAGAAGCTGGTGAAGAGGTTAGACTTCACTGGGGAGCTTGACAACACATACATCTTTTATACCTCAGACAATGGCTACCACACAGGTGAGAGGCAGGATCAGTACTCCTGTCATCTTTGAGAACACATCTCCTTTCCCACCCAGTTGGTAGCCCTGTAGGAGTCCAGGGCTGTTCAGCTATGGACTTGCCAGATGGAGGTTCCTCCCCTCAAGACTCCTCAGGTTAGAGGACCACAGTATTCCCACCAGAGAAACCAGCCTTCATTATTTACTGTTTTAGGTGCTAACTGGCCTTTGACCAGGAGCCAGGAGGGAATTCAGTGGGTTAGAGACAAGTGTTCTGGAAAACGTGAGAAGAATTCATTTTTAAGGACAGTAGAACTTTGTGAATAGGGCTAAGAAATTGTAGACAGGAAAACAGCTGTCTTGCAGACAAAATCTACTGATTTGGGAAGTAATTCTGGTTTTTGAAAACTGCATTACGATGGCATATTTCTGACTTTCATCCTTCTTACTTGGCCCTCCTAAGTTAAAAACAAATGTTTCCTATTTTCCACCTCTATAAATTTCCACTTGAATTAGCCTGAGACTTGTTTGCATTAGAACACATTGGTTCAGCATTTAATATATCGTTGTGGATTTTGTTTTGTTTCGTTTTTGAGACAGGGTCTCCCTTTGGCTCTGGAACTCATGTAAAAAGAGATACTCTTGCCTCTGCCTTTCAAGTGCTGGAATTAAAGGCTCCAACATGGCCAGCTTTTTTCTTTTTTTCTTTTTTCTTCATTGTGGGTTTTTTTTAATGTACAAAGTAGGAACTAGTATATCTGGATGTGATGGTATGCACCTATAGTCCTAGATATTCAGGGGCTAAGGCAGGAGGATTGCTTGACATAGAAATTTGAGGCCAGTCTGGCAAACATAAATCCTGTCTCTTTGGGCAGGGGTGTGGGGAAGACTAGTAAAATAACTTTCCTGTCCATCATTCTGCTCGGATCTTCAACTACACATAGCTGCTCTTTGGGGTTTTGTTTTGTTTCTGAATTTATTTTTATTTTTTCATGTGTATGAGTGCATTGCCTGCATTGCCCATGGAGGACAGAAGAGGGCATCAGAGCCCCTGGAACTGGAGTTTTATACAGTTGTTAGTTACCATGTTGGTGCTGGGATTTGAACCCAGGTCTTCTGCAAGAATAGCCAGTGCTCTTAACCACCAAGCCATTGATTTTTTTTGTTTGTTTTTTGGTCTTTTTGAGACAGTCTCAGCTATAGCCCCAGCTGGCTACAAACTCAGTAAGAACACTGGGTTGGCCTTGGACTCACAGAGACCCACTTACCTCTGCCTCCCAAGTATTGGGATTAAAGGTGTGCACCAACACACTGCCCAAAGCATTTATTTTTTTTTTTTTTTTTTTTGTTTTTTTTTTTTTTTTTTTTTTGAGACAGGTTCTCCCTCTAGTCACAGCTGGCCTGGATTCACTATAGAGACCAGGCTGGCCTTGAATTCAGAGATCTGCCTGCCTCTCCCTCCCAAGTGCTGGGCCACCACACTTGGTGTGATTTGATTTTTTGAGACAGGGTCTCTATGTAGCTAGCCCTGGTTGGTCTGGAACTCACTATGTAGACCAGGCTGGTCTCAAAATCACAGAGATCAAACCCAGGCCCTTACACATGCTAGACAGGCATTCTACCTCTGAGCTGGTTCTTTGAATCAGGGTCTCACTCCATCTCTCAGGTTGGTCTTAAACTCATGATCCTCCTGCCTTCGTCTCTGGAGTGCTGGGATTACAGCAGTATTACCATTACACCCTGCTGTTTTTCTGAAGGTTTTTGAAGGAACTCCCACATCTGAACATGCATGTGCATCTAATTATGAGGTATCGAGAGCCAGATAAAAGCTACATACTACCTTTTCTTCTGAGGTTTCTTGTCTCAGTTGTTACCTTTAGAACACTTCATATTCTGGATTTAGCTAATTACTGCCTTGTAAGGCCTTCCTTGTTCATTTCTACTTGGCCTCTCCTGTAGATTGGTAGTGAGCTCTAGAGATGTGATCGAAGCAGCAGCATCAGGCAGGAAGGCTTCCTCAGCAATGCTGCTGCAGTCTTCTTTGCATCGCATCATGTTGTAAGGCCCACAGTGTCTGGCTTCCCCACTTAGGGAGTGCCAATGTTGATAGATGGATCAGTTGATTTAAAAATTTTAAAATTGTTGCTTAAATCTGTTAGTCCCTCACATTAACATCTGCAAAATAATTATAACATTATTATAATTATGTCCTTATTCATGTATTTAAGAATTCTACAGAACCCTGTCCACACCAGTTGGCTTTGCACTGCAGTTCATTCAGGAAAGGCAGGGTATGTTTTTCTCCTTGTATTTGGCAGTGTTTGCAGTGATACCATTCTCCTGGCATCAGGTCAAATATGCATTAATTAGTATGTATTTGTCTTCATTCCTTTCCGGACATTATTATTGCTCAGTCTGTTCTGTTTAGACCAGGTAGTCCTTCTTATTTATCTGGAGAAGGTAAACTTCATTGTTTTCCCTGCTTTGTGCTTATAAGAGACCCAGGTAAGTTTAAGCTTTGTTTTTGTTAAATGCATCCATCCTGGCTCCACATTTACTTTATGCATTTTGTTTTCAGGGCAGTTTTCTTTGCCAATAGACAAAAGACAGCTGTATGAGTTTGATATCAAAGTTCCACTATTGGTTCGAGGACCTGGGATCAAACCAAACCAGACAAGCAAGGTAGGTGTCTGACTGCGAGGCTGGTCCTGTGTACAGGTAGGCACTTGCCTGAGACAGCTGCGTGGGTTCCTCCTCCTGAGGATGAAGGTTGGTGGGCATATACTCCGTGTTTATGGAGAGCCTTGGAAAGAGCCTTTTTTTTTCCAACTGTCTGCTACTGCCTATGAAATGTATTTTTACTGCCATATATATATGTCACATCAGCATGTGTAGCTTTGGTTTGTCTGTAGAGTTTTACTTACCCTGTGTCAGTGACTCTGAACAGAGGGTACTCATCAAAATCACTATTTGAGGGCTGGAGAGATGGCTCAGCAATAAAGTGTACTTGTTATTCCATTCTAGGGAATCTGACATCCTCTTCTGGCCTCTGTGGACACTGTATGCACATGGTATACTTAAATAAATGCAGGCAAAATGCTCATACACGTAAAATAAAACTAATAAAATATTTTTTTAAAAATCACCATCTGAAGCCAGGTGTGGTGGCCTTTAATCCCAACACTCGGGAGGCAGAGTCAGGCGGATCTCTGTGAGTTTGAGGCCAGCCTGGTCTCCATGGTGAATCCAGGACAGCTGGGGCTACAGTGAGACCCCTGTCTCAAAAAGACAA